TAATTACCTAAAAATATTAAAAACTATTTAAAATAACTTGTTTAGCAGACTGTACAATAGCTATCTTAGTCACACGTAGCGCGTTCTCTGTCTGGGCGTCGAACACCTCTAGAAATTTGATGAACTGTAAATATAAATCAGACACCCAGATATTTTATATTATGTTTTATTTTTAATGATGTAGATATATTATTGCTTGTAAATGAAAAAAAAAAGTCTTGTCAAAGTTAATTGTTAGCTGTTTGTGATTAAACCAATCTACTATATATTTAATATCCGTTTCTACTTTTAATTTTAAATCATTCCAAGTATCAGCTTTAAATATTATTGCTATCGTCACCAAATTGATAGAAAATAAATCGTTAATATATAATGAAAACAAAGTAGGTTTAGGTATAGTTCCCTGAGACACTCCAAATTTTAAAGTTATTTCCACTTATTTCTGACTTAAAATTAACGACTTGCTAACGTTTTACCCCGTATCCCTATATCCTCCAAGATATTCTACAACTGTCTATGACTGACAGTGTCAGATGCCTTGGCTAGATCCAGGAATACACATATACATCGTTTTTTCTTGTCTACTGATTTATAAATTTTTTTGGTTAGTTATGCTATGCTATGGCATTATTAGTAAAAAGATCCGTTCGAAAAACAAATTGAGACTGGAAAATAATATTAGGAAGTTATTAGTAAGATAGGGCGATAGTTGGCCCATTGTGCATCCTCCTAAGATGATAAGCACCTCCTAGCTCGTGAGCCAGCCTACAGATTTAATGTAGTTGACAACGTCGCCAAGAGGTGCTTCTCTTATATCGGCCGGTGTTAGCCGATACTCGCCGAACACAAATCTTCTAATAAATGAGAGCGTCGAGCAATCGTAAAGGATATATGCTCGATGGTCTCATCTTCTTGTTCACACTTGGCAATGACCAGTCAGAATGCCCGTGACTAGGCACAGATACTGTCTAATCATAGTCAAGTATTTGTTTGCTGCAGTGTTGTCAGGATAACTTGCATTCTTTCGCAGAGTATGTTCTCAAAATTCCCTGTTTGCTCAATGACCAGTTAATCTGCATATGCTATTGTGTAGTGACTGTTATTATTAAGGTGGCTGATGAGAGTGTCGAGAACCATATTCCACAGTAGAGGTGATAGTACCCCTCCCTGTGGACATCCCCTCGCAACCAAGCCTCTTATATTCACATCTTCTACACTTATTTTTGCTGTTCGCTTTGAGAGCATGTTGTGTATCCACCCACTAACCATTTGTGGAACATTCCTGTTAGTTAGTGAGTGTATTATCTTTGGGAAGGTGGTTTTATCAAAAGCACCTTCTAGGAAAACACCCAAGGCGGACTCCTTATTGTCCAGGGATCTTTCTATCCAGCATGCAACTAGATGAAGGGCTGAATCAGTAGATCTACCTGGGGTGTATGCATGTTGGTTTGGGTGTAGTGGTGTTGTAATCACCGCATCCTTTATGTACTTTTCGCATAGCTTTTCCAATGTCTTCAGACTAATTGGTCGGTATGTTCCAGGATGGATTACACTAGTAGATAAGCAAAGCTTTTACCTCGATATATATATAGGGAATTCAATGTGTTAGAGAGAGAAGTCCCCTGCCTGACGTAGGTTGACGTTAAAGAGTAAAAATACGCGTAGCAGCAAAGCCAGAAGGGCCTAAGTCCATATCTTCGTTGCTATTGGTCCGATTTACATGCAACAAACGGCGTTGTGGGGGAGAAGTGTAGATTAACGTTGAAGTGAAAAATCACGCGCAATATCAAATCCAGAAGGGCCTAAGTCCATATCTTTGTTGCTATTGGTCCGATTTACATGCAACAAACGGCGTTGTGGGGGAGAAGTGGCGTAGATTAACATTGGAGAGAAAAATCATGCGCAGTATTGATGCGACAATAATGAGGAGAATATATTATAGAACAATAATATAACATCGTTAGTATTTAGATGTCTTCGGTAGAATACGATTGTAAATTAAGAGAATTTTTTTAGAAACTTTACCAACTTAATAAAGACATAATCTTGTACGAGGACAAAGAAAATATTACGAAACAATTAAAGAATCTAAGCCTACAGTGGAACATAGAAACTCGTCAACTATCACAAACACGTTATCCGTTAAGACAAATACAACCAATCGCAGTACAAAATAACTGTTTTATTGAACGCTAATTTTGTGCCACTCACATCAGTATTAAACAATATATTGTATATAAATGTACCTAGCGGTGTAGCACAAATGGCAATATGTTTAGATAATCTTCAACGTGACTGTACTCCAACGGAATGGTTAATGATGAATTTCATGCAGGTGAATGATGGCAAGTTGGATACATTTTCAATACCTATATATCAAACGGAGTATAAATTAAAATTAGTTTACCAAGATGGTAGGGAAGAAGAATTTGAAAATTGGAAAACAGTGCCACAATCACCACCATTATTATAAATAGATTTGACTGACATGCAACCAATAAACATAACTCAAAATTAATATTATACATTATATATAATTTCTTGTATTACTTTATGATTATGATTTTTCTCTTTAACGTTAATCTACGCCACTTCTCCCCCACAACGCCGTTTGTTGCATGTAAATCGGACCAATAGCAACGAAGATATGGACTTGGGCCCTTCTGGCTTCGCTACACGCGTATTTTTACTCTTTAACGTTAACCTACTTCACCCACCTACGTCACGTAAAATTATATACACATCTATCTCTCTCGATCGCATTGCTATGGCAATGGCCGGGGACCTCTCTCTCTAACACATTGAATTCCCTATATATATCGCGGTAAAAGCTTTGCTTATCTACTTACACTGTCCTCTTTATTGAACACAGGAATAATAGATGCATTTTTAAATTGAATTGGAATCTGCCTTTGCATATATTTTCATTAATTCAATGTTTAAGAAAGGAAGTAATCTTATCTGAAACAGCTTTAACCATTTCAATCTTAGCGCCATCAATTACAGGTTTTTCTTTTTAATTATATAGGTACTTTTTTATTTCAATTTCTATTGTAAGAATTAAAAAAAAGGGATTTTTTTTTAATGTTTTTTCTTTTAGGGAATGGGGAATTCGGCTTTATTATTTTTTCGTATAGTTTTTGGTCAACCTTTGAGAAAATAATTTAGGACTATTTTAAATTTGTATTTTATCAATATTTTTTTTGTAAATAACATTATTTCCATTAAGTTGATTTAGTACTTTTAAACTTTCCATAAACCGTGAGAGTTGTTCTTCAATTAGATTTTCTATAATATTTTTTAGCATTTATCAGTATTTGTTCTACAATTCGGTATGTTGTCCTTTTTATCGATTTTGTGTTCTGTATGTTTTTTTAATATGCCTAGGTTTATCCACTATTTTCTCTTTTTCCACTTTTTATTTATTTTGATAAATGCTACGTTTAGTTGTGCAAAGTTGTTAAGGTTAATAAAATTTTTAATATAAACATTAAAAAGAAAATAATTTAACATTCCATTTCATCATACTGACTACGCAAAAAATGTAAACAAATCAAAGTTGCTTAATAGTAAAATTAAACACACTATGGTAGATTTCACAAAAATATTGAATTTATAATAAAATTGGTTAGTGGATTTGACAATTTTATCGATACAAACTGAAAAAATTACTAATTTACATGTTAATATAGCATACGAGAATACAAATAACATTCTTCGAATTAATAAGAAAATTAAGGTGAATTAAAGCGATTATTACTAAATTCAATATTTTTCCTGGGCCGCCGACATTTTGGTTTTTTTTAAAGGCAATGTAGATCAAGTGATATATTAACGAAAAGTTTATTTCTTCTTCATTTCAAGAATACTAAAAAAGTACCCTGCTGACGTAATACAGATCAATTCATCACCCTAAAATACCTTGTTGCCAGATTTTTTCGCTACCCTGTATGTATAGTATCAGAAAAAAACAATTCTAATAATGTAGTATAATCTCATTCATCGGGCTACAAAGTCATAATAATTACACATTTATTTGTTTCAAAGAAACTACCTTGTTGTGATGTAGCGAGACATTTTCGCTACCACGGATACTACTTTTCGACGTGCTCTTCATCTAGCTCTATATTTTAACTTTGCCATCTTCTTGTGAGCTTCATAATACCTTTTATATAAAAGGTGTTTTGCACAAAAAGCCAGTTTTACACAAAGATCTCCACTTCGCCACCGCCTTCAAACTTTAGGTCACCCAAAGCTTCTTTGGGAGGCTGTAGAATGAATTCACACTATCACATCTATAAAACGTTTCAGAGCAACTTTTGGAGAAAGTACCGTAAAAGTGCTAGTGTGATGTTTTCCGAACTTCACTTTGTAACCTCTATGAGATGTGCTATAAAAGTCTTGCCGTTACGGACATTCGGCGGTTGCATGGACATTAGGGTTACATTAAAAGTACATTGCATGAGAGCTTAAGAGCCTAAAACTGCAGCTTATTAACGTAGATGGGATGTTTTTGTGCTAGCTGGGAATTTTTTTTTAATTACATATTTTTTTGTATACACATAAAAGTCTAATAATTGTACTTTCTTACTATCTTAGAACTAGCAAGTAACAACTGAGCAACTTATTATTTAATCTGAATGTCATCTAAATTGACCGAATGCTAGCTAAAGCACCCTATACATTTTTTGATAACTAAGTACCACAATTTATTAATTTATTTAATACAAGCGTAGATTTATATTATTGACGTTAAACTATTTAATATTAAAAAAATAAAACGTTTTATATGTCCAATCGATAAAAGTCTTAGATTATACGCTCAAAATACGAAATTTTTGCCGCTAGAAAAATATTTTTTGTAACAATTTCGTTAATATCCTATTTTAAAGGTTAAAATCCAACTCATAACTAAGAATACTTAACTCAAAAACAAAAGAAAAAACCTTTTTGAACCAATCCGCAAACGCATTTAAAAACTTACTGCTATCATTACTGACCTACTCCACATTCATCGAGCCACCTCAGCTGAGCATCACCAAACACCAACAAAGGATAATAATAAACAAAACACTGCAGACGCGCGCCACTTTCATAACAACCGAAGATCGCGCGAAACAAGCGAACCGCTGCACACGACAATTCCAAAACAAATGATGAAAACGATAAAACGTTAAAACGAAAGAACGTCCTTTCCTCCTGTCCTGCCAAACGCGCTCGAAGAAATATGAAGAACGACGCGCAGCCTAAAAGACAGTTGAAGAACGTCGCCAGATAAGGGAAATAACTTCTAATTTAAAAAGGCTTTGGACTCTATTTCAAAGGTTATGCAAGAATTTGGCGCTTTCACTGAGTGCACTTTGCATCGACGTTAGATTAGGAGTGAGACGAGACTGAAGAAGTTTAACGATTTTGTAGTTGGGCAAAGAAGAGGTGGATAGGTAATAAACGATGGTCATGAATTGATTGCTTTATTTAACAAATTAAATTCTGTACCTTAATCATTAGATTTTCTTTATCTGGAACCTCCTGGAATCATTTTTAGCAATAAAAAAAGTTATGCATTTTATTTGTTGTATTAAAAAAAAAAACAACATTTACAAATATACCAGCAATATCACATATTGCTTGCACATTTATTTCTATTTCTAAATTTTTCTGGATTTTCTCCACTTGTGTGCAGTTCAGTGCACCAATACACTTGGAGAATCTTGAAATATTATAAAACTTATGAGAAGCTTCATGAAATTATTCAGCTTCTAAATTAATCCTTATTAATTATGCATAATGTTGAGCTATTATAGCCCTTGTCACTTTCCATACCACCCTGCTGGCAATAAATACCTTTGTCAATAATACCAACCAAAGTCTTCAGTAACTTGTCAAAAGCTGCCAGATACGTAAAATTTTAAAGTCAGCTTGACTTTTTGCTCTGTTGTAACTGCATGGTTCCTAAAATTTTAAGGTTAGTTTAATTATTGTGTATCTGAAATTTAAACACTACAACTTATTGATATGTTTCTGAAGATATGTGCCCAGGCACAAAGGTTTATTACAGACAGCTCTTCATCTTTTGAAAACCTAAACCTTTTTATGAATTCACTTTCATGCATTTCCAAAAAGTTAAGACTTCTCTTTATAGACCTAAACGCGCCTTCTCGCATTTCTCAACAAATTCACTATTTTTATGAGTACCAAGTTTGTCATTTCAGAAATATACACTCGTTTACCTTTTGAACGATGATGTAAAGAACATTTTGTGAAATGTAAAAGAAAATATTTATATTTATGTTCATAACAAGACACTTCTTGTTGAAATATGATTTAGTATCAATACTTTTTATGTGAATACAGCCTTAGTTATTTTAGTTATAATTAGTTTTTGTTGATTGGTACTACTGTACGTCAGAATATTGACTAATGTCAACCTACGTGTTTCCGGTTACTACAATGAGGTTGAATACTATGGAGATGCCATGCCAAAAAAAACGACACCCCTTCCCCTTCTCTTACTGGTCATGTCATAGTTGTCAAAGAGCTGTCAGAACTTTGTTCAAATTTAAATATTTCGACGTTATTTCTATCTTAATAAGTGTTTTTTTTTTATTAATTTGTATAAAAATCATGACTAAGTGGGCCAAAATTAATTGTAAAAACTTTTTTTTATTATAGGTTTCCAAAAGACCCACAATATCTCAAAATTTGGTCTAAATTTGTGGGAAAAGACCAATTTGAGCCTAAACCGAATAGCATGTTGTGCTCTATTCACTTCAAGGAAGAATTTTTTGATAAGAGTGAGTTTAGGGTCAGATTGAAGAAGAATGCTGTTCCGACAATAAATGAATGTTTAGCTAGTATACACTTTATTTACAATAAAACTTAAATAACTAACTTAATAAAGAACATTGGCTTGACTAACTTTATACCAATTATAGAAATCTTTAGTAAGTACTTGCTTGCAATTTTAGTAATATATGTACCTACCCTATATAATTAATTATTTCAAACATAAATAAAACCAACAACTATTATCCGAGTCTTTTTAGTTCCGATTGGTTTTGACAGAGTAGTTTTGATCATGGTTTTCTTCCATCTATTTTTAACCATAAAGTCATACCTAGCTGAATTTTTGGTCTTTTTAAACTTTTGACTGTAGCGGGTCATATTTTTAATGTATGTCATCTGCAGCAGAAAGACATACATGTTTTACATTTAAAAGTAATTAATTGTCCTTTCTACAAACTCGGCTGTATTTTTACTGAAATATATTTATTCACAATTCACGTAGTGGTTTGGTTTTTGGTTTGGTAATTTGATGTCATAATTCTCCTCATTGTCAGAATTTGACATTGTCAGCTTTGATCAAGACAAGAGAGTCCTTGAACGAAAAATCGTAGTTCGGGTTTTAGTTTTAAAGCACAAAGAGATTAACAAATCTGATGCACAGTGTTATTCGAACGTTGATTTTCGAACACACAGGTCATATATCGGACGGTTTCGGCGAAGATAGAACAATATAATAATATTAATCTCTTTTATGGTCTTGGCATTGGCTTGGTCGGAAAACGGTTAATAAATAATAGTAAATAGTGTAGAAGTCATAATTGCGCAATGTCATCAAATTAATTTCGAATCGATCATGTAGAAACAAATCTTAGGTAAGTAAGTCATTTAAAAGTTGTAATTCTGCATACGGACTTTAATTATATTTGAATACGACTCTGCTTAGTCAACCATTTAAGACACGCCCAGTGGGGTCATTTTTAATAAAACGTATCATAAGCAAAACAATTGCCTCATGGCATCTCCATTAGTATTATACCTCCATGGGTTACTAGTTGTAAGACAATGGTCGTTGTTGGTTGTTGTATTTGTTGTAAACCAAACATAGTTTGAATAAAGAAAATCAAAGGTTAATTGAAGTATTATTTAAATAATAAAGTACCTATATAAATTAACACCTTTAAGTTGTTTCTCTTTTGAATTGAACATTATTCAATATCTTTGATACTTTTGTAGAATTATCTCATTTTTGACAAATTTTAAGTTATTTCCTTTCGAACTCAGCGTATAACTTTTATATTTATGAAAACTACGGGCCTCATAACAATCCTAATTTTCAAGACATTGCACCATTTTTGGAACTATACATTACACACGCAGCTGTAATAATTTCCAATCTACTTAAGAGCGATATCCATGGTTAGAAACAGGCTTAAAACGACTTCAAGGTTCTCTTTCTCAGTTTTAAATATTTTTTTATAAAATTTGGTATACCTACTAAGCAAATGATAGAGAACTCCGCTGTAGAGCCCGAATTCAGAAAAACTAATTTTTTAATTATTTCTATACAAATTATAAAAATTATTGCAAAAAGGAGTCTTTACCGGGAATTGTTATATAAAAATCAGCTAATTCTTTCCAATACACTTTTTTGTCCAAAGCGTATATTTTTTGAAAACCTTGAATTAGGAAATCTGAGAAAATCTGTCAAGATTCCAATCCATATTAATTGATTTGGCAACAAGGCGGCGGACGTTGGCGGTGCATGCAGTACCGGAAAATTGGGATAAAAAACTTTATTCTTTTTAGTTCAAGTGTAGGTGTTTTTGTTTCGTATTTAGTCAATGTGTTTATATGAACTTTTATGTGTAAGCTGAGTTATAATAATTTGTGATAAAAATGGGAAAACTTTCGGAAATGCCGAAAATTATATTTCCGTTTCGACGGAAATCTATAAAATATCGTGCTAGATTACTTAGAAAAAGACAAACATTAGCACCCCTTCTAAGCATTAAAGTTAAAATATATGGGAAATTAATATACTAAGTATTGAATTAAAAAAAAACCTTTAGCTTTAAAGCAATATTTACAAATTTAAAGCGGATATCCAATAAATGTGGTTTATTTGTGGATTCTGAATATGGTTTTTAGGTTCCGACGGTTTATTAGGAACAGACAGTACCTATTATCGAAATTAAATATCCTGCCACTGCTTCAAAACTGACTCCGAAAAAAGCAATGGTTGACAACATAATAAAATTTGCAATTATTAATGATAATGCGAAAATGCAATAATTGTTCAGGGGCAACTTAACGTAACTAAACGAAATATTTTTTTTTTTTATTTATTTTAATACCTTTAAGTATGTTAGTAGAAAAAATAAAAAAAATGATAGATTTTGGTGTATATGGAAAACAAACTAAAGCAATTTTATTTAGATTGTATACTACCCGAGATCTTAGATCCACGTTTCACTAGAGGTTTAGATATTAGAAATTTGAGTAGAAATCCGAGTAGAAATCCGACCAATAGTCAATAAAAATGATTATTTTTATTCCTTCTTTTACTAATAATAAATCATTTTACTCAATGTTATTTTTAAATATTTTTAGTACTAGAAAACAATTTTTTCTACACCCAAATGGATAGCGTATCTACGTACAGACTACAAAACGAAAAAATATGCTATTGCGTAAAATGAGTTATACTTGTGTAGAATCGATAAATAATAGCATTTCTAGTTTTATTTGATCTATATTTAGAAATAAATAATTATAAATTTTAATTAAACTATATGAAATCAATTTAATTTATATTCACTCATGTTACACAAACTACAATTTTCTACATCCACATGGATATGCTTTTTTCTATACCCACATGAATATTAGCTAATCTACGCACATACTACAAAACAAAAAAGTATTCCATTGCGTTCAACTGAACGAATATATTTCATATTCATTCTACCTAGTAAGAACACTGCAAAACAGTTAAATCCACCAATCACATTATATATTGGTCACCCAACTACTATTATTTTTTAAATTTTATGTAGTAAAACTAACTGTCAGTATATTTTTGAATTATTGAGATTAAATATACGTAAAAATGAATATTTCTTATGTATAATCGATAAGTAATAGAATTTCTATTTTTATTTCGTCCAAATTTATAAACAAATCTTAAATTTTAATCAAACCATATAAAACTAATTTAATTACAAGTATTAGAACTATAATGGCAAGTGTGGCGACGGCACGGAGTTTGTCTCCAAGCGAGAGACCCGAGTTCCAATCATGGCTGGGGACTAATTAAATTAAATCTTTTTGTATGTTTATTTTATTTTATAAATTATTAAAAGTCATACATTATTTTAATAAAATTATTTATTTTGTCTTAATAAATTACTTTTTTAAATTTGTAGAATTTCGTTAGGGTGTCGTAGAAAAAATATACTGTACAACTCGAGTGGATTGTCTGTATCGCACTCAGACGATTAAGCATTCCGTCTACGGCGTCGTTCTGAAACTTCGTCTTCGTGCGATATGGCCATCATATCCAATTTTG